ACCTGCCAGACGCGTGGAAGGAATCCGGATACGGTCGCTGCGACGAAGAGGCGGAGGCTCGACCAGAGCGGAAGGGGAAACAACAGGAGGCGAGGTTGAAGTGGAGCTGTCCGAAGTGAGTGGGAGCGAAGAGGGGTTGTCTTCAGTGACCACTGGCGAACATGGGGAGACTGGAGCTGCTGTTTCAGTGAAAGCAGTAGGTGGCTCCGAAGGTACTCGAGGAAGAGAGATTGATGAAGAGTGCAACTCGTCATCATCATAAAAGGATGGCCTGTGATCAGCCGAACCTGAAGGAAAACCAAAAGTAGGAGTTGACACAAATTCAGGTGTCGGAACAACATCCTTCTGAACATCACGATACGGGAATACATGTTCAAGGAATTGAACATCACGGGACTTGTAAATAGTGTGCATCTCAAGATCATACACGCGATATCCGCGTTGAGCAGAGGGGTAACCAAGAAAAATGCCAGCCCTCCCACGTGCTCCAAACTTGTGTAAGCCCTGATGATTATCACGAGCATAAACCAGGTAGCCGAAGCTCCGAAGATGGTCATACTTAGGGTCCTTCCTAAATAGTATATGGAAGGGTGATCGATGACCGATAATGACCAAAGGCATGCGATTAATGAGAGACGCAGCAGTCATATCGCACTCACCCCAAAATTTGATGGGCAAGTTTGCATGAAATCGAAGAGATCGTGGAGTGTCTAAGAGGTGACGATGCTTGCGCTCCACTACACCATTCTGTTGTGGAGTGTCCGTGCACGATGTCTGTAAGACGATTCCTTCCTACTCGTAGTAAGCAGTGAGTTGGTTACTTGAGAACTCTGGACCATTATCGGCTTGGATCCTTCATACCTGCTGCCCAAACTGACTCCGCACCAAGTTAGAAAAGTACAATAAATGTCGGCCAACATCACTCTTGTATCGCAAAAAAATACCCATACTGCACTACTAAAATCGTCCACTATTGTCAAAAAATAGTGTGCTCTAGAGGTAGAAGCAGTTTTGTAGCTACCCCAAATGTCAACATGAAACAGTTCAAAATACGATGTTGTTTCCCATATACGGATGCCCAAGCCGCGAGTGCCACAACTCTGTGCAATCCAAAGAACGGCGTACAGAATGCGTCACAACATGAACAGCTTCCAAAATCCGCAGACAGTACATCCCATCGACATGCTTACCCATCCCTATCAGCCTCTTGGATGGTAAGTTCTGAATTACACAGAAATCGCTTAAGAATATCAGTGCCCCTGGAAGATCAGTTGTAAGTCTCCTGACAGAGAGCAAGTTGCATTGAAAATCTGGCATGTGAAGGACGCGACGCAATGACAATTCATTATATAACTTTGACATCCCAATACTATGAACCTTAACTCCTGTTCCATTTGGGATTTTAACCTGCAGAGAAGGAGAGGAATCCAGCTCGAGATCCAACAATGAAATGTGATTAACAATAGGTTCATTGCAACCAGAATCTATCACCCAACTTGACGAAGGGATGAAAAACGTACCTGCCATGTTTGACGATGGCTCGATGGATGCATGTTGCTTGAGGTCTGCACCAAGGAGCCTTTTGAGTTGTGCGAATTGAATCCCTGTGAGGCCGACCAGTGGACTATCGGCAACATCTACCTGGGAAGCCTGTGGTGAAGACCGCGCACCTCTCGAACCTCACGCTGACACTTCTTAACGTCACAGTGGAAAACACGTCGTCTAAACCCATAAGAAAATAAAAAAAGCATACCCCCCCTCTTGAACCTCACGCTGACGCTTCTTAACGTCACAATGGAAGCCGGAGCAAGTGCATTCAAGCGATGGCGTGAGAGACGTAATTTCGTTCCAAAGCCCTCGCAGACGGGTGTAAAAGGCAGAAACCGAAGCCTTCTCCTGTTGGAGGCAGGTGATCGTGCTCTTTAGCTCGTAGAGTCGTCAAGCACTACCTTGTCTGAAACGCGACTGGAGATCAACCCATATCTCTCGTCCGGTAGATGCAAAGCGAACGCTGTTCCGCACTTCCTTTGACATAGAAGTTTTTAACCATCCCTTGACCATCGCGTTGCAACGTCGATGTGCCTCACGCTCATTAGGGTTCATCGCGGCTGGTAACGAACCATCAACAAAACAAAGCTTGTCTTTGGCAATCAGGGAATCTGTCATATCTGTGACCCATTCCACATAGTTGTTGTTCGTGAGTAGCTCGCCCACGAAGAGGTTGTTCGGACTGTCCAAACGGCATAGCTGGAGGTACGGCGGCAACACCACCTGGAAATTGGTTGTGGCGCTGGTAGCCTTTGAGGAGGACTTTCCCGACTTCTCATTGTCGAAACTCATGATCAATCAATCGTGAATCTAATCATAGCTCTGATACCATGTAAAAATTGATAGCAGCGGCAAAGAAACCAAACACACAACACCAGAATTTACGTGGTATCCCCGTCCAACTGAACGGGACTAATCCGCAGAGAGCAAGCTCTCGGAGAAATCAAACTAGTGTTTGTCTCTTTATCTTAGGGGTTTCGGCTACAGCCGTGTACAACAAATATACTAGCTCCTATCAACAAGTTACGTGGAGCATGGTAAATTACTAGATATAGATCCCTATGTAATAAACAATTACAAAAGGGTCCTCAACATCTTTGTTTATGGTCTTTCATTTCCTCCTATGACAAATCCAACAATTGCAATGAACTAATGTATCTTTTTTTTTTGGATAGATGATGTATCTTCTTGTTTTGTTATTAATGAAATAACAATTCGAATAGTTAAAATCTTTGAACTGCTTAGATTCTAGAGACTTAACCATTGAACTTAACCATGACTTTGTAAAAAAAGGATTTTAACCATGGCCCATAACTACCATCGATCAAATTAGGAATTTTTTAATTTAATCAGATTGTAGATCCTTAAATGAATCAATTCTATTATGGTTTTGCGTGATAGTACTCTATCGTGCTTAAAGGCGAATATTGAGTTGTCATTGTCTGATTTATTTTTCATTCGACACGTGATCACGTCGAAGGTGCTTCATTACTAGAAAACATGCTATATCTTTGGCTGATTGTGATGTCGGTCGCTTGCAATATCGATTCAAGGAGTTCGACATCAACTACAAGAAAGTAGAAACTATAAAGTTTCTATTTAAGATGATCTACTGATGCAATTGTATTTTTCTCGTTGTACGTTGTTCTGTGATAAAAAAATTTGGTCATCCGATAACAAGAGAATGAACTCATGTATCTTTGTTTATGGTCTTTGATTTCCTCATGTGACAAATCCAACAATTGCAATGAACTAATGTATCTTTTTCTGGGTAGATGATGCATCTTGTTTTGTTATTAATGAAATAACAATTCGAAAAATTAAAATCTTTGAACTGCTTAGGTTCTAGATTAGATTTCATTTCTCCAAATGAACCCTCACAACTTTATGAAGATGTCTCGTTCAACTTAAACGCTACATTGAACTCTCGTCAATTACTATAACATTTTTTCTCTCTCGATAAAAATGTACAAATCTAAATCGATCAACATGTTAACATAAGCCAGAGTATTTTTATAGTCAAAATACATGCCTAACTCCTTCCTATTTCCTTCCAAACCGATTTCCTCTCCTCCGTCGATTCCCTTATCTCTATTTTGTCATTTCATATGAAGCTATCAAATCAAATAGGCGAATTACATTGAATTTTTTTTAATATATTAGAGGAGCCAAAAAGGAAGGGAGCGGTTGGGGATAATGCGTTGGCAGCACACATGCGCACAATAGCACTAGGCAGTTAAAATACGCCTGCCTGCATTATCCCATTCCCAGCTCAACAAGCTATTCTGGGGCGCCGGTTAGGCAACTGCGCAGGCGTTCTTATTCCCGTTTTCCCCTTTTTCCCTCTGGAGAACGAAATGGAAATTTATTATTTCGTCATAATAATTTAATAAGATCACAAAAAAAAAAAAAAAAAAAAAAACCAAACCAGAGAGAAACAAAAGAGAGCGATCAAATCCCAAATACGAAATTTCGTGAAACAATTTAACTACAAACGAAGAAGAAAAGAAAAAGAAAAGAAAGAGCAGGAAGACGAAGAAGAAGAACCCAAAAAAAAAAAAAAACATTCCCAAGAGGTTAGCTCTCTCTTCTCTTTCTTCCCTTCTCCATACTTTTTCCTCAATTTTATTCGGTTCCTTTTGTTCGATTCCGTCGAGCTCCTTCAATGGCGGTTTTTTTTCTTCTTCTTACAGCTGAATTCAGTATGATTTCATTTCTTTTTATCTTGTTTTGTTTATCTGGGTTGGTTTTGATTCGGCGAAGTTTAAGTTTTTGTGTGTGTATATTCTTTTTTCTTCCCTCGTTGGAGTCAATTTCTCTGGGAGTTGGTTTGACCTCTGTGATTGGTTGCTGAGAAAAGCTGGTGAGAAAATAGGAGAAAAGTATTTTCCTTTCCCCCCTGTTACCATCGGCTTCTATTCATTCCTTTTTCGCCTTTTTGCCGTTTATTTCTTTTGTTGTTGGGTTTAAAGTTTTGAACTTGTTTGTGCTGGTGAGCTGGGGGAAAAAAGGGAGAAGCTCAACTCAGTGAAACAGTGATCTTTTATTCAAAATCTGATCGTGAAATTTTTATTTAGAGTTAGATAATTCAGCTCTCGAGAGCTTTACCACTGTGATTTCGATATCCGATTTTGGGTTGTTTTGGCACTTTTCCCTCACGTTGATTCGTTAGGATGTTCTGCTATGATCGGTGGGGAATATGGCTTCTCTGGCTTCGTTATTAATTTTATCAGCAGCCAAACAGACGGGTGATCGAAAAGCGTAAGCTTTATGCCAGAAAGAGAATTGAATTATCTAACTGTCCACAGATCGGGACTTGCGTTGTTTCAAATTTGCTGGTGCTGAGAATTGTTATGATCGTGTTGAGTTTATCTTTGCTTTATGTGTAACCTGTTGAGTTTTCTTCCTGGCAACAGGTTTTTTTTGGCTATATTGGCGGGGTGGCAATCATGATGCGATTCAAGACGGGGAGCAAAGTGGAAGTGCTGGAGAAACGGGATTCACCTTCAGGATCGTGGCGTTGTGCCGAGATTGTGTGTGGGAACGGGCACAACTACACTGTGAGGTATGATGGGGATGCTGAATTGAAGAGGATATCGAGAAATGCTATCAGGCCATGCCCACCTGCGTTTGAAGTTTCTGATGCTTGGGTTCCCGGTGATGTAGTGGAGGTGTTTGATGGCTCCTCTTGGAAGATCGCCACGATCACAAAGGCATTTGGGGATAATTACTGTTTGGTGAGGGTGTTGGGATCTTCTGATGAGTTCGAAGTCAGCAACTTTTGCATTCGTGCTAGGCAATCTTGGCAAGGTGACAAGTGGGTTGTGATTGGAAAGGTACTTCCTCGCGGTCAATCTTATTTGTTTTCTTAATTAGCTACAATTTTATACCTTGATTGTCTTGCATTGCATTTGCTTTGATTTCCTGAATTGGCCTGTTTCGAATGAACTTTAGCTTCAATGATATTGGTGGTTTTCTTCCACTAATTTGCTAAATCTCATGTCATGTAAAAGAAGATGCATACTTTAGGCTCTACCTTGACTATGGGACTTATTACTAGAAAGCTATAGTTGAAGTTTTCGAATTTCATGGTACTTGTTTTCAGCATCTGTTTTTCTGCAAGTCCTTATCCATTATGCTTTTTTTTTTTTTTTTTTTATGTGTCCAGGGAACTGGAAGCTGCAAAGATAGGAAACCACAGGAGAAGTTATCCCTGAAGAAGAAAGCAAATGAGAAAAATGCTTCTAAAGTTCAATTGACACACTCAAGGAAAGTTGCGGTGAGGGAAAATGCGTGCATGCCTGGAGCGAAGAAGGGAAATCTCCAGAAACCCAACATGACTGTTTGTAAAAGTGTGAAAAGAAGTGCTTATGGTGATTCGCAAGCTGAAACATATTACTGTTCTCCCAGAAAATATAGAGCAGTTGAGAGAGCGGGCAGGCCAAAACGACTAGTTGCTACCAATCAACCCTTGCTGTGTGAAGATGTAGTAGTCAATGGTTTCCCCAGCCAAGCTGGGATTTCTGAAGTGGATGCTGAGAGGAGGCTGCTCGCTGGAGCTGTGGGATGTTCATATGCAACAGACCTAGAATCTAGTGATGCTGATAGTGTTGCATGCTCAGTTGGTAGTTGTAGCATTGATGGCAACTATTCCAATAGATTCCGTCTTCATGCAGGCCATATTGAAGATGGCGAACGTAACTCTAGTGATGCAGAATCATTTTGCGCACGCGAAGATCAGGAGGCAAACATCTCCCTTCCAACAAAAGAGCAATTGACTGGTGAAATCCATAGGTTAGAGTTGTATGCCTATCGTAGCACGATCGAGGCATTGCATGCTTCGGGCCCATTGAGTTGGGAGCAGGAAGCATTGGTGACAAACCTTCGCCTATCCCTCCATATATCAAATGATGAACATTTGGTGGAGGTCAGAAATTTAATTTCTGCTGATAGTGCCATTGCTTCTAGATGACAAGCAAAAAAGTTGCATTCTTTCTCTCGTCATATTCATTTCCTGTAGCTGTAGGTACTTTGCAAAACGTTTGCTTGGATGCTCCATTGTAAGAAGCAGTTTTAACCTTTTGTCCTCATTGCCATTAGTTCTAAATCGTATAGCTGTTGAGTTAACGTGGATGTACCAGAGAAACCTCCCAAGTAATGAATATACTCACCTTTGCCTATTCATGTTACTTCCATAAATTTTGCATTTGATTCTGTATGGCGTCTCTTATTTGAGGAAAAGCTTATGGTAGTAGAGTTGGAGTTCACTGTTTTTGCTTCGCTGTTGTATCCTTGAAAGTTCATATTTTGAGTTCAAGGGAGTGGTACATTCTTAGCTACTAAATCTTATGGATCTGACATTTGATGTGCTCTTTGAAATTTGATTCGTGGTTTTGGTTCTGTAGATGAATACAATGTGGGTTCTTTTTATCTTGGTGTTCTCTGTACCAATGCCAGCGGATAAAGTTCTCTTGAGAGGATATTGTTGATACCTTCTGATGTATTTTCCAGGTCCAAAGTAGGAGGCTTGTACACCTCAATTTCCAAAAGGTTCAAGGATGATTTTGGGGTTTGCTGCCTTCTCTTGGTCTGCATAATTGTCCACCTGTAGAACACGATATGATGAAAGCTTCTGACTTTCTTTGGTTGTTGGCCAGTGTCTGCTCCAGGCGATATAAGGACCGCAGATTGTGTTATACTGAAACAACGGCCCGCGGTATCTGGTTGCTTCCTTGATTATCACACTTGTGATGATATATTGCTTCAGATTTCCATGATTAAAATGTTTATGGCTTCCTTTTTAACATCATCAGTTGTTTTATGCTTATCTTATGTCCTGCATAATTTGTTGGCACAATGCATGTTTTTTTGTATGGACCAACATCTTGATTAATCTGGAAACTGTGAAGAATGTTGAGCTCTGTACCAGTGCTACCATTAGGTATGGATCTGTACGCAAATGTTACCCTGAAACGTGGAGATCGGAGCATGGCGTAAACAGAGGGAGTGAGAGGTATGGGCAAAAGCACATTGTTTGTCTATGCTTTGGGGAAGCAAGCAAAATTTAATCGATGTACAAGATCTGAGAGATCGAAATTTGTTAGTTGTGGCAGTGGGTAGTATGTTTCGCCTGTCTAGAAAATTTTCCTGCACATTTCTTTATGCTTGCAGTTAATTGGCAGACTGCATTTCAGATGTCCGCTGCCTGATAGTCACATTGTGTTGTGTATGCAGATGATTGATCAGTAACTTGTGTGCATCAAGAATCTGTCCAGCTCTGATCAGAAGAAGGCGGGAACCATACGGATCCCATGTGATTGCATTGCACCTGGTAGTGTGAAGCGTAAGGATAAACGAGTCCCTGTCACGTTTTCGTTGTACTGGTGATCTTACGCAACCCAATTGGGGAACTCTTATGGTGCATCAGAGTAGGAAGCTAATAGTGTCCGTCCTACCATCGTTCCATTGCCACTGTTCTTCAGAGCCAAACATGAGCTCGTTGATCCTTGGCGACAGAGATCGAAGGTAGATGAAATAGCTGATGGTCATTCCCTTTTGTACCCGGAAGCAAGCAATCGACCACCACCAACACCCTTAGCAACAAAATGCTCGGCATCACTTGCATAGTAACATCTTTGCTAGAATAGAACCAGCCTCACGCCGCTTAGTTTCATCATACTTGGAAATTGACTGGTAACTCAGATGCTCTACCACTGCATAGTCCAATCCGATCCAGACTTGGCCAGACCACGAAAGACCGGACCAAAATCATATGAACTGGATCAGAATCAAGCTGTGGCTTTCTGTAGGGAATGACAAAGTTCCCGAAGTTGTGGGCCTAGATGACTGAAAGCCCAATGGGTGGCTTTGCTAGTAGACTAAATTTGTGGGCTCGTATCTTCTTATGGTTTTGTGAGCCTCGCCCTTAGCTATGATATCCTTTACTTGCATCATCCACATTGGAACTTCAAGGCAGCCAATCTCATGACCATTTGCTTGTGGTTCGAGCACTGGTATGGTTGAATACTTGAATTCACAAACCTAATTAATCTCAAAGTTATGTTTGTATCATGGTGTCGTCAGATTATATGTTTTTGTCGATATTTTCGTCATTGAAATTCAACTTAGTTGGTATTCTGAAAGCGATATCGTACTTGAATATGAGGTATTATTAGGAATGAATACATAGTTGTGTATTTCCAAAAATGCAAAGGACGAGATGGATTTGAATTGTTCAATCTTCTTTCTTTCTTTCATGACATTCTCCCCTTTACCTGTAACCTTCCGTCCTGACATCTTTCAGCCTTATAGTTAATCACGAATCCCTTCTCTCTACTGTGTCCCCGTTTAGTTACTTGGCGTGCAGGCAAAGAAGATCAAAGCTCGCTTCTGTCCAAATGGACAAGAAAAATCTGATTTTATTTGGCAAACCCATTACTAAAAACCCCTTTCTTACTTCTTCTAGACAAGACAAAACAAAAACAAAAAGCCCATTAACGTTGGACTAAAAAAAAAAAACATTTCTCTCCACGTTCTCTCTGGCTGGCTCTGGTTTATGCCGGCCCTTCTCGTGTACATCTTTCTCCATATGTCCCCCCTACTTGAGAGCAAGAAATGAAGAAACAGTCGTGGAAGAATCAATAATGAATTACGTATTTGTTTTTGGAAAATGGTAAGGATCAAAAAACACAACCGCAAAAACCTACAAAATCTCCAATCATACCATCCTGATTCGATCATATTAGGAGCTGGTATGAATGTATGATTCGCATCAGAGGCGTGATAAGATGTGAGTTTTGTACCGTAACCTCAGATGATTGATTTTTGACATATGCGTGTGTATGTATGTATTGTGCTGAGATCCATCATTACGTGTTAATGCATTATTATAGTACTGTTTTGCATAGTAGAACAAACCATATGAGATTATATTTAGCAAATGAACACCCGATTAAAAAAAAACAAAGGGAGTTGACAGAATCAGAATGGGAACAGGGTGGTAATGTCCCAGAGATCAGCAGCAACACACACTTGCAAGGTGTCATTCCCCCTCCTCCCCCTTTTAAAAGTCCCATGAAAACGCTACTGCTGCTGAAGCAGATAACATGTACAGAGAGAGAGAGAGAGAGAGAGAGAGAGAGAGAGAGAGAGAGAGAGAGAGAGAGAGAGAGAGAGAGAGAGAGAGAGAGAGAGAGAGAGAGTACACTAAGCTAAGCTGAGACAAAAGCTTCTGCAACATTTATATACTTCTCTATGGAACACAGTCTGACTAAGTGTGATGAGAATGTGGTGTTTGTGTTGTGTTGGTTAAAGGGCAATAAACAAAAGAAATGGGTTTCCCTCTTCCCTACCAAATCCATCTGCCCATTTGTCTCATTTGCATTTCCATATCTCTCTTTCTATCTCCTCCCCTTTGTGATTGCAACTCTCCCATGTGATGATGCTTTCTCTCATTAATCAAAGAGAAATGACAATGAGAGAGAGAGAGAGAGAGAGAGAGAGAGAGAGAGAGAGAGAGAGAGGGAGGGAGGCAAAGTGGGGCTTTCTTGGCTTGGAAAATGTTTCCCTTTTTATTAGTTGGAAGTTTGACCTCTAATTGGTACTTATCGTAAAATTATTCTTCTTATGGGTATGTGGATGATTAGGATGTTGATAACCCATGATAGTTTGGCTTGATTCCATTCACACCATTATTTCGACTTGAAAGTCATTCATTTCTTTATATCATTCGAAATGTAATAAAAAAATAAGTTCTTTCTTGATCTTTTATCTTTGCGTTCAATTGTCAGCATAAAAGGACATTTTCCTGAACGGTTGATTTTCACATTGGATTTAGAGGTCGTTTGCTTGTAGGATTTTGATGAGGAATCCCATATGTGTTGGATTATGATCCAAATCCCTATTTGTTGATAAAAAATGAAGTTGGCGTAAATCCGTGGAGCCCACAAATGTGGGATTTTCTTTTGCTCAAAATTTGTGGACCCCACGGATTATAAAATATCACCTCATGAGGTAAGATTTTGAGAAGTGCCAAAATCCATGGACCCCACTAACTATGAATGACCAAAGTATCCTTAACAAACAAAAAAAAAAGAAAAAGAAAAATACTTTATGACGATAGAAAGAACGATAAGAAGGTAAACTCATCATTTAACCCATAAATCCAAGATAGTAAAGTCCATTTTGAAATCCATCAAGCAAACATGCAATTTTTAAAATCCAACATAACAAAATCCAACATAATCCTTCAATCCCAAAATCCAAAGTTTTATCAAAATCCTTCATTTTTTAAAATCCCACAAGCAAACAAACTCTTAGATGTTCATAAAAATGAACTATTTGTTACTTTGGACACACTCCCGTCACCACCATCTTCATCTTTTTTTTTTTTTTTTGTGTGGAATCTCCATCATCTTCATCACCATTATTGGGGATTATTATGCATATATAGTAAGGGGTGTAAGGGAGGCTTTGTGGGTTGTTTTGTCATTCTTTTGTCCTTTCTTCTTGTGTGGGATTTGCAAGGGAAGGGGGGGTTTTGGGAATCTGACCTCTCCATAGTATAGTTACCTCAATATGTGTTTGTTTCCAAGAAAAGCAAAGCCCCAGCATCTCAGCAACCGAGGTACATAAATACTACAAACAACATTCGAGATCATCATCATCATCTTAATTACCTAATTACGTGTACTCAACATGTCCAAATCCATGTAATACGTTTGGAGATTTCTAGGCGCATTAGTATTGTTTATCATGGAAATTATTACCTAAGTAATGGGTAAGTTCATTCTAAGTGAATTGGTTTCGTTTCGCTCTATACGGGGGAGATAGTTTGTTTTAGGTACATTAATGTGGGGTTTAAGTATTAAGATCTTGATTCAAACCTATCTTTATGTGAACTAATTGTATTCTCTATAGTTAGGAAAAAGATACAACACTCTTCGTATATCTCAAAACAAACAACAAAACGTG